GCAGGGATGAGGGAAAGCAAGCTTTCGGGGGTAGAGATTGTTTGCAGGTATGGATGCTTCCAAGTCAAGTGCTAGTAAATTGGGGTTGTTATCAACACCCCCCCAACCCCCACGCCTTGGAGTTAGGGCAGATAATGATACAAGTTAGGAGGATTGCATGAGAAAACCTAGTTTATCTCACCAGAAGCCTGCAGAGTGTCTGGGGTCTTGATGGCTGTTCCAAGGAGTCTCTTGGTGTATTTGAGCATTCTCTGTAGACTGACTAAATGATGTGTCATTCCCTTAGGCTTTATAAATATATGTAGATGCTCTAATGATTTATAAAAATACATTTGCTTAAATGCACTCCTGACTCTAGAGTTGCTTTTTGGTCATTATGTATTAAAGCGTAATTTTCAAAAAGGTAAAATCATGACTTTTCAGTAAATATAAAATGAACACATATCACAGATTTTCATTAACTTGTTAATTAATGACAGAACCGATCAGATATTTAAAACTTGTTTTAAAAACATCTGAGAAGCTAGCGTATTTAAAGACAATTGAACAAAGGAATGTTAGGATGAGATTGCCGGGTTAGATAAAAAATTAGTTAATGTCTGTCAGGACCGTAAATCCTTGTGGTTATGTGTTCCACTGGACAGAAATCCTTTTGTATCTTTACTCGACAAAAATCTACAAGTTAACAAGTAACTTGACCAAGCCTGGGAACTTCAGTCAGTAATAAATAGCGAGATGAACTAAGTTCATCCCCCTAGACCAGGGGCCAGCACACTTGTTCTCTAAAGGGACAGATCATTGTTTCGGGAGTTGTGGGCCATACACTTGCCTGTCTCATTCTTCCCTTCTCCTCCTTGGCAGTACAAAAACAGGCTGTGAGCTGGATTTGGCCTATGGGTCATTTGCCAATCTGTCCCCTTTGGGTGGCCTCAATCTTTGGGTAATCGTTCCTCCATATGACGTTGAAAGGACATGCTGCGTACTTCTTTTACCTTCCAAGATCCCTATAAATTTTCTGACAATGCTTTCTCACAGAACAAAATCAAAGAGTATCATTGATATCTTGGGTGGGGATGATGGTAGTAAAATTTGACGTTAAAAATTGTCATATTAGAAAGGTCGAGAAAATTTCTCTAGAATTCAAAAAGGACAACTTTTGTGGGGAGGAACAATGCTATTTTCAGACCCAGTTTAATCCTTGCCATTTAGAGGGGTGTCATTCACCAGATGTGGGTTACTCAGTTTTGTCTAGCTCTTCCATGTACTTTGAAAGTTTTTCTATTGAAAGTCAACATTTTTGAAATGTTTACCTTGTCTCAGACTGCTTTTTCTATCTAGATAAAAAGGGGTTTCTATATATTGGAGTGTGTATATGACAATGCTGTATTTTTTTGGAAGGACATCTTTGGGAACTTGAAGAAGAATCAGCAGTAGCTTCCCTGTCTGGTTTATTCACCTTTACTTTCTCTTTGCAAACAAATATAAATTGAAATTTCTCATCTGTTTAGTTTTTGCAAATGTATTGAAAGAGAGTCTCTCTTTTGCTGTTGGTTCCTGGCAGGAGGTCTTGAATAATGCATGGGTAGATGCTTATATTGGTAAACATGGTTAATTTTAATTATAGGAGTAAGATTTATGCTAACTTTTTAAATTTAATTTTTCTGATTCTGAGTATAAACATGAATTGTTTTTAACCCAAAAGGGGAAAATGCCTTTAGGGGCTTAATGACATGTTTGGATGTATTGGGATGTAAGGATTTGTCCTTTTCTCTCTGTCTGGTTTGTCAATCAGTGTTGGTGTCTGAGCAATGTTTCATTGATATAATCCTGGCTATGGTGGGAAGTGCTTATTAACTATTCTGTTGAATTGCTTAAGTCATTGTTTTAGGGGACAGTTCCTTGGGAAAAAAGCCTTGATTGGGGTTCTTAGAGGGCAGCTGCATTTCGGGAGAGCAGCATTGCCTGTCTCAAATTGAAGATTTGGAATTTGAAGTAAAATTATTCCAAAAGGGCTTAACAACCCAGCAGGGTCAAGAAACATGAAAAGGTCTCAGCTCACACCTTTTTTGCTTACTGAAGTAGGGATGGGTGGTCTTAGTGTGGAAGACAAAGAGAGGGCAGAAAAGAGAAAGGTCCCTGATCATTGTTTCAAAAGACAGGTACCAGGCAAAATGATTATCATTCACAACTGTTTTGCCTCGTTTCTGGTTCTAAACCTGGGATTTTTTGTCAGTTGATGTGATAGTTAGCAACAGAAACTTAATGATGGGAAAAGCAACTCCCTCTGATTTACTTCTGATTAAGTAGTTATCTTACTAATTTATCACCAACTTATACTTTGGTAGATGGTTTTAAAAATATATACATTATATGAAGATATAAAATCAACTGAGTAAATGGAGTAAAGGGAGTTATTCCTTCAGTCATTCATTTATACATTCAGCTGATACTTATTAAGTGCCTACTGCATGCAGAGTATGGTTCTCTGTGCCTGGAATATTTCAGCAAACAAAACAAACTCCCTGTCCTTCCTTATGGAGCTATATTCTAGACTGAGGTAAAAGGAGACAGACAGTAAATAAATGCACAAGTAAGTATGTGACATGGCAGGTGTTACTTCCTGCTGTGTGGACAGTAAAGCAAAAGGGGACTGGGGAGCAGCAGGAGTGAGGGTGGGGTGGGAGGGAGGGTTGGTGTTTTATGAAGGTGCTTCAGGAAGGCCTCTCGGATGAGGTGACATTTGACCTGAGACCTCAATGAAATGAGGGGTAAGTCATGTAACATCTGAAAAAAGAGAGTTTCAGATAGAAGGAACAGTAAGTGTAAAGGCTTGAAGGCCAGAGCATGCCAGATGTGTTTAAGGAGCAGCTGGAAGGTAGCTGGACGGGAGTAAGGGGGAGAATGGGAGGAGATGGAGGAACTTCATAGGCCATTGCAAGAATTAAATTGTACTCTGAGATACAGGAAGCCACTTGAAGGTTTTGGGCAGGGTAAGGACTACAATTTGACTTCCATTTAAAAAAGATCAGTATGGCAGGCATGCTGAGAATAGTCAGTAGAGGGCAAGGGAGGAAACAGGAAGTCCAGTTAAGAGGCTACTGTGATAATTCGGACCAGAGATGAGGGTGACTTGGTTCAGGGGTTGCTAGTGAGGTGGTTAGAAGTAGTTGGATTCTGGATGTATTTTGAAGGAAATACTGACAAGGTTTTGTGATAGGTTGGATGGATGTAGGGACTGTGAGAGTGAAGTCAAGATTTTATCCTGAGTTACCAGAAGAATGGAATTGCATTGGCTGAGGTAGACAAGGCCAAGGAGAAAACAATGAGGAATGGAAGGCAACTTCCTCAACCTGATAAAGGGCATCTGCAAAAAACCCACAGCTCACATCATACTTATGTGAAAGACTGAATGCTCTCTCCCTAAGATCAAGAATAAGACAAGGGTGTCCCCTCTTGCCACTTTTATTTAACATCATTGTACATGAGGCTTTAGCCATTGCAGTTAGGCAAGAGAAAGAAGTAAGAGGCATCTAGATTATCAAGGAAGAATAAAGTTTTACTTCTGTTTTACCTCTGTTTGCCAATGACATGCTCTGGCATATAGAAAATCCTGTGGAATCTACTAAAAGAGTATTAGAACTAATAAATGGATTCAGCAAGTTTGTAGGAAACAAGATCAATATGAAAAATTCAATTGTATCTCTGTACGCTGGCAATGAACATTATTGGAAATGAAATTGAGAAAAGAATATCATTTACTGCCATGAGACTGGATGAGATCACCCAAGGAGAAAGTCGATAGAGGGGGAAAAAAGGCCTGAGCCCCAGGTCACCAACATGCAAAGGTCAGGGAGATGAGGATGAGCAGAGGTGACAGATATGGAGCAACCGGCAAGGCAGCTGTACAGCCAAGAGGGTCATGTCCTAGGGGCAAGTGTCTGAGGAAGGAGGAGGTGATCAACAGTGCATGATGCTGCTGACGGTGGAGTAAGGTGAGGACCAGGGATTGACGGCTGAGTTAGTGAACGAGCATGGGTGAAAAGCAGGAGGGAGAGAGGGTGGAAGAGAGGGTGGTAAGAGGAAGGCTCTGTCTGGAACCAATACTTTTTTGGAAAATGTAATAAAAAGCTAGTACTAGGAAAATGAATATTCAAGCCCACTTTTTTCCCTACTAAGTTCAAAGACATGAATATTACTTTCAAATTACTATAAAAGTCTGTAAATATTCTCAATTTCTGTATTATCTCATCACAGTCTGTAACAGAACCCACAAAACCCACTTTGTGTTGTGTGGGTCTAGGATTAGGTGAAGGAACATGAACTACAATTGATTCAGTGTAGATGTGATACAGAGTACTATGCTTGATGGCTGGAGGTACTTGTTAGAGAATAAACATCAGTCTCACCCTATAAGAAGTTGTGTATATCTCCTTGTTCAGAAAGCATGAAGTCTGAAGTTTGGTCCCACGTAGGATGTAGTCACCAGCAAGTCACAAATCTTGTGGGAAGCATTATCCCTTCCTATAAATGATAAAGCTATCTGCTGTCTTCCTCATAATCTTGACATTTGTATGGTATTTTAGTCTGAATTGCTCACTTAGGTCTCATACAACCCAGTGAAGTGGGTGGATTTTTTTTTAATCTCCATGTTTAATCTCCAGGCTCAGAGAGATTAAACAACTTGTCCACCCTCATGCTGTTTGGAAATGATAGAGCCGGAACTAGCCATCTACACCCACAAGCTTGTGGGATTTTAATTTCCTTCCATATTTGAACTTAACATCAGCTATACTTTGACAGTTTTTTTCCTGCTTTTGTTATCATGAATTTGCAGGTTTAATGTGGTGTCACTTTGATGTGTGTTGTCAATACAGCAAGGATAGACTTTTTCAAATCTAAACAGTTGCTGGATTACACTCTTACTGGTTTTCATTTCTGATCAGAAGTGCTCTTGACTCTAGAAATGCTATCTTGTAACTGACTTGTTTTGTTTTTCATAGTGTATGAATTATTTGCATTCATCAGTCACATGGGAACATCTACAATGAGTGGCCATTATGTTTGCCATATCAAAAAGGAAGGAAGGTGAGTCTTTTTCAGAAGGTAAATGATAGCTATGATTTATTGAGCACCTACTATGTGCCAGGCACTCTACTAAGTGCTTCTTATGTTATCTCACTTGGTTCTCACATTGGTCTTGGAGGGATATACTTTTAATGCCGTTTTATAAATCAAGACACTGTGGCTCAGGGAGGCAAAATAGCTTGATGTTAACTAGTAAGTAACTGTGTCAGAGCTGGTATTCAAAGCCATTTTCAACCGTCATACCAAGGTGACTTGCTGAAATAAAGACGCTTCTTGTAGTAGAATGTATGCCATATTTGGAACCTTTATAGGATCGCCATATTTAGCCAACAAAACAAGAAAACTGGGAAGCCCTATTGAATTTGAATTTCAGATAAATAGTGAATACTTTTTAGTATAAATATATCTCAAATATTGTATGTCCCAAATAATGCATGGGACATACTTACACTAAAAAATTATTTGTTGCTCACCTGACATTCAAATTTAACTGAGTAACCTGTGTTTTATCTGGCAACCCTAAATCTTCAGTGCTTTGCCTTATTGCAGCCTTGCAGTTGGCTTCTTGGCTTCTCAGGTAGAATTGTTAGGTGTGTGGTAAACTGGGAAGGACACAGTTATAGAATGGAAGGCTGCTGCTGTCTTCAGCACCTTCTCCCTGGTCCGGATCCCCACAGCCCCCACTGGTGGCCTGTGTGTCAGCACTCCTGCTGGTGGGCAGTGCTCAGGCCATGTAGAAGCTGGAGACACGTGGAAGCTCAGCCTCTCCTGGTAGGTGTTGGCCTTTCACTCCATTCTCCCACTGCAGGAGTGGCCAGTTTCCACCCGGACTTGATTGTATCCATTTTGGGTGTGTCTTTTCATTTTGTTTTCTCAACTTGGTAAATAAAATAGTTGAGCACCAGGACTTGTATTTATAGTGAATTCTTACTGCCAAGCATAATAGAGCTTTTAAAATACTTTTTTAAAGAAAAATAACTTAATTATAGTTTAAAAAGCAATAAAATTAATTAGAATTTTTAAAATACAGAAACATAAAAGGAATATGCACTTGGAAGCCTAAAGATAACTATTTTCTACATTTTGATAATTTTTCTTTGTCTTATTGGTCCCGAAAGAGGGTGTGTATATATTCATATACACACATACAACATACAAATATACACACGTATTTAAACTTTTCTAAAAGCTTAAAGTATGTACAGAGTACATACATACTATTTTGTATCCTGTCTTTTTCCCACTTCATATTATATTGTGATTATTTTCTCACTTCACCAAATATTCTTTGAAGAAATTTTAATAGTTCTATAATATCTCACTGCACGGATGTTTAATTCTGGTTTTTAGCTAATTTTATACGTAAGGCTGAAATAAATACTGTCGTACATAATTCTTTGACTCAGTTATCTGTGAGGCTATCTGTGGATTTCTGCAAAGGGAATTATGGCATCAAGGGTTTAAAATGTTTGGAAGTTCCTCACGCATGTAGTAACTACTTTTTGATTGAGCTCAAGAATCAAAAAGCAGTTGTGATTCCCCAACAGTATTCTGTTTCTTTTTATACCAAAAACTTGCATTTGTTGTTTAGAATGTCTTGATTATTTTAAGTATTGTGCTTCATATGATGCATAACTTCTTTCTGCAAAGTTTCCTGGAACTGACTTAAAACCATCAAATGTTTCTGTCTTTTGTTTTCAGATGGGTGATCTACAATGACCACAAAGTTTGTGCTTCAGAAAGGCCCCCTAAAGACCTGGGCTACATGTACTTTTACCGCAGGATACCAAGCTAAACCTCAGAAGTACAAATTGGCTAGAAGAAGCCATACGCCTTTTTAATTTGCCAAAAAAGAAAAAAAAAAAAAAAGTTGGGACAGCCAGACATGAAGGAGAACGTGGGGTGTTTATAGTTTATTTAAAGAGCACGATCATTTGACGCCTTCTGAAATAGAACTGGGAAGAAATTTCTATTAGTGATGATAGACTATTGTAGATAGTTTTTATAAATGTTCAAGGAGAGGATGATATTTAAAAAAAAAGGTTTTCATATTGCTAGTGGGGAATCTGTCCTCAGCACATTAGAAATGGGATGTGCCCAGCCGTCTATTTTGCTTTAGGGGTGAGTGTCAGTAGCCTCCAGAGAAACCAATGAATGTGGCCAGAGGTCTGGCCTCACCCACAGTAAACGAAAAGCCCACTCTTGTTTCATATAGAAAATGAACAACTGGGCTGAGCTTTATTTGTGACGTAATTTTCTTTCATTATACACTTTAATTTCTGACCTGTCTATGTACAGTAGAGTATCTGCAATGAAAGATATTTTTAATTTAAATCACATCAAAATTCATATGATTGTGTGGATGTGTGAGAGTGAGTGTGAGACCTTTATAGTCCACTAGTAAATCTGTGATGTGTTGGTTTTTAAAGGCTAAATAGTTGGTATTAAACATATCTGGAAAAAGCAAGTAAATACTTTAATGAAATTATAACTCAGGAACAGGTTAAAAAATGTTTCCCACTTGGATTTTAAGGAGTAAAAAGGGCTGTTATCCCTTTAAGTGCTGTCAAGAATTCACTTGGGTTTGTGACATTTGGTGGCACGATGCCAAATGCCTGCAGCAGCATAGAATTGTACTTTGTCAAAGGTAGATGAATTCTCTGTTTCTCAGTAGTTCTTTCCCCCAAAGGTATAGTGTTTATTTTTAGTTAAAGTAACTAATCTCTTCTTACCACATCACATGATAACTCCATGGAATCATGTTAAATGCCCCAGATTTGTCTGTAATTTTCCTGTCTCTGATCTCTTCGTCTGCCTCCATTTCCATGTTTTTCTGGGGCCAGAGTCTTATCTCTGTCCTTTTTTTAGTTTGTCACCTCCTGACTTGCCTTCATTGCTTATCTGCTGTGGCCAACAGTGTGATCTTGGACACTTTAAGAATTTCAGATACAAAGAAACTTTATGTGACATTGTGAAAGACCATCCTTTTCATTTTGGTTGTTTCAGTATTTTAGTTGCAACCTGGGGTTCAATCACAGTTTCAAATGTGATGAAAAGTGGAGCGATACTATTCTATAATTTTCCTACTGCTCTGCACCAAATTCCAGAGTCTCTGGAGTTTCTATTTCAGATTATCCAGTCAAATGAAAAAGGATTTATTACTGTTTGATTAACATGTATTTGGTTGAAAGGATCTTTCTAGACACTGTAGGAAAATAAAGCAGAACCAACTGGGTGACATAAAGCACAGACGTTGGATTAGGATGCAGTGAGTTGTGAACAATCAGGATTCTGGTTATGACCGGGGCACCTATCTCACAGGAGGTCACTTAATGCCATGCTAGTGAGGGACGTGGGGCCTGAGGCCTGTGGCCCCCGAGGCCCATGGCCTGGAGACCTGGGTGCTGCCCCTAACTGGCTGTGGACCTTGGCCAAGTCCCTCCTGCTGCCTGTGCCTCACTCTCCTCATGTGCACAAAGGTGTGATGACACCTGCCTTCTCATTCCCATTGTGCTTTGAGGAAGTGGTGAGATTTGATACGATGAACCTTAAGAGAGTACAAGGTCATGTGCTACAGTGGGCCCTGGTAGAGTCTGCTCCCTGCCTCCTCTCATCTGATGTTTTCTTCAATTTGGCAACAAAGGAGATTGGCAGAAGGAGGGAGCTCATGGTGCGGTAATTCTCTACTAAACTGTGCCCGCTGCTGTCGCCTTCTGATGTTGACACAGACATCCTAAAGCAGTCCCACTCTGTTATGCCAGCTCCTGATTCCCATGGAAATCCCCACACTAAGGAGCCTTACAAAATCCAGACCCCTTGGGGCTGAGTATCATAGAGTCATGGCTCCCAACACATATCCAAAATGGCTTGTTATCAATGGTGGCACAAAGCAAAGGCCTTTTCTTGTGGGAGGGGGTTGGTGATTGGGGGTTTGGATTGAAATGTGGACAAAGATAGCATGTGTGTTATGAACAAAATAAAATTTTTTAAATAAAACTTTGCAAAATCAATGGTGTAAAATCAGTATTTAAGCTTATAAATTACTTAAAATTTAAGGCTATAAATTACTTAATTTCATTAAGTAGAAAAAGTTTAGCCCTTTTGATGCCTAAACATATTGTAAGAAAGTGTACTATGGCTGCCTTTTTTTCTGCCTCACAAAACAAAGGGCTATTTCTACAAGGTGAAGTTTTATATATGTGTTATTCTTTATTTCAGATTGAGAGTTAGGAAAAACTGGAGCAAATAATGGGTTTCTTTCTTGCTTAAAAATGTTTTTATATGTGTATCTTAATATATACAAGGCAGATTTCCCTGGAACAAAAGTCTGGAATGAACTGCTTAATTTTACACCTGTGTATATGAGATTATTTGTGACTGAAAACTGGAATAATGAGTGGATTGTGTTAACTGATTATCAGCCTGTTAGGAGTCCTCTGTGTGAGGCATGGTGGTATAATTGTGAAATTCTCACTGTATGTGGGTGTTCATGTGAAAGACAGAGCTTTCTTTCTGTAAATATCTTTTGATATCCATTTGCATAGAATCTCAATGAATGTGTCTTTGGAACACATAATGTATCAAACTTTATTTTGTTAGTTGGTCTAAATGCCCACACAACTGCCCAGAAACCCAGTTTTTAGTTCAGATTGGGATTTCCTTTAAAGGAAAAAAGTATACAGAAAAGACTGTATGGGAAGAATCATGATTTAATGACATTTTACATTAACATTGCTTCAAAATTTTGGAGTTGAATAGACTATTTTCTCCCACCTACAAGAGAATGTGCCTGCTGTTTCCTGGTTGCTCACTTTGTGCCTCAGGAAGTCCAGTGGGAATAGCTTTGGTCTCTCACTCCCTGCGCCGTTTATTCCCTTTACCTGAACTGGAGCCTCTCCTGCAGGTCACAGTGAGAGCCCCTGGGTTTGTACACCGATTTCACCTCGAAGTGGGATGGGGCTGAGTCATTTTATGGGCCTTTTTCTTTAAAACAAGTAGGTTAGATTAGATACGCTCAGAAGTCCCTTCCTGCCCTGAGTGTTTTTCCTTTCCTATGGTTACTACCAGGGTCAGACATGTGAAACGTGAGGGATCGCTTAGAGGTTCAGATGGTATGTTTTTGGATTGTCACAGCTTACATACTCCAGTTTAGGACTTGTCATTTTTGCTGTTTCCACCCCAGTTCTATTCCCGATCCACTGAGCTTTACTTTCTTTGGTAATTGTCCCATTTTTTCCCCAACTCTTGAAACTGCCACCTTGCCAGTTCATGAGGTACTTTGCTACCATCCGCCTCAAAACCAAAAAATCCATTTAAAACATTCTTAGAAATTAGAAAAGCCTCAGAACTACCTTCAGTTAAATCTGAAACATTTGTGGGATATTTTAAAGTTCTAATTCGGTTATAGCTAGGATCCCCAAATAAGTGCTGACAAAGTTGCCTATCACAGAAAGGGATGTCTTTTTCATCTTGCAGGCATCACTGTAGCTAACCCACAGCACCAGCACAGGCTGTCTCTGATGAGGTGGTAGGGGATGGGGCAGGACCGGGGGATGGAGTTAGATACCATGTGATTCTTTCCTTATTCTGTTATCTAGGTTACAGAACAAGGTTCTGCACTCTTAAACTGGTGTAAGAGGTCACTTGCCTACACAGTGTCACAGATTTCCCACTCAGGGAATCATCCTGAGAGAGCCTGCGTAAGGCTAATGACCACTAGAAATGGAGCTTGTCCAAACTGAGATTGTGCTGTAACACATAAACTGCACACCAGATCTTAAAGGCTTGGTACCAAAAATATATATATAAAATATTCCATCAATATTTTATACTGATTACAAGCTGAAATGACAATATTTGGGATATATTGGTTAAAATTTAATATATATTAGAACTAATGTCACCTATATCATCTTTTTTAATGTGGCTACTAAAAATCTTAAAATTAGACATGTGGCTAATGCATTTCTGTTGGACAGTGCTACTCTGGGCTTACCTGGTGTGGGGTAGGCAGTGAGATACCGTAGATAGGAAAGGCAATTCTGCAAAGCATCCAAATAGAAGCAATACAAATATTTTTGCTGTGAGACACAGAACATTTCCCAGAAAGCAGAAGGTTTTTCTTACTAAAAACCAATAAATTCATATATGTAAGACCCTAATTAAAAAAACAAAAGCAAGTGAGCCCCAAACTGCCTTCCTTCAGCTTTGCCTAGAGCTGCTACCTTTGCTCTTATTTTTCTAGCATCTTCCAGGTTCCAAGGGTGTTAGCCACATGAGGGTATTGGGCATATTTGTTTCATTTTGGGCAACATTCTCTTGTGGTTTTCCCTCCCCAGGTGTTGTTTGGTCTGTTCAAAGCTGGGTGTGTTGAAATACTGTGCAAATCTTGCTGCTCTCGATGTGCTGCTGGCCTCGGCCTCAGCAGACTGAGCCTGTCACCTGTGCCCACCTTCCCAGCAAGTTTTGATGTCAGCTCCTGAAAGAGTTTGTGTTTATTTTATTTTGTACTAGTCACAGTTGTTTAAACTATCTCAGATGTTTTGGGAGAATATTTGCCTGTGATGGAAAGAGAGATGAATGATTTATTGCTTCAATTGTTTTAAATTAAAAGCTATTCTCACAATCTGAGGTCCCTTTATGCCTTTTTATTTTTCTTTTGAAAAATGCCAAGTAAACTGATTCTGCCATTGATGGTTCTCATCCATCAGTGGAACAGGTAACTTGAGACAATGACTAATTTTATTTCTTTTTAGGGTTTCTTGATGTTGCCAGGTAGCCTCGGTGGCTGCTTGGTTCCCATCAATAGTGGACCATTGCAATAGCACATTGTTACCCCTGTGAAGGAGAGGGGTCAGGGCAGGGAGGAGTCTGATGTCTTCTAGGCTTTCTCTGCTGGGTGTCAAATCATATAGTAGAGTTAACTGAGACCTTTCTTTGGTTCCCTGGGTCTCAGTTTGCTGCTGGCCTCAACACAGGTAAAAGCAGAATGGACACGTGTTGCATCAGGAGACTTCAGCATTTCCATGACACTATCTTGCTATGGTGTCTGAGTCTCCCCATTGCTGTTATGATAAATCACCACAAACTCAGTGGCTTAAAACAGTACATTTATTAGGTCAGAAGTCTGAAAATGGATCTTAGGGGGCTAAATTGAGGTGTCAGCAGGGAGGCTGTAGGGGAGAATCCATTCTTGCCTCTTCCATCCTCTGGAAGCCCTTCATGTTCCTGCCTCATGGCCTCCCAGCAGCATTGGCACTGCTCCAGCTTCCAGCATCACGTCTCCTCTGACTGACCCTCCTGCCTCCCTCTTATAAAGGCCTTTGATTACATTGGGCCCACCCAGATAATCCAGAAGTCTTCCCATCTCAAGATCCTTAATCATGTCTGCAAAATCCCTTTTACCATGTAAGGCAACATATTGACAGGTTTTGGGGATTAGAATGTGGACATCTTTGGAGAAGGCATTATTTTGCCTATTGCAGAGGGTATGTTAATTGTTGCTTAAAAATATTCAGTCAATGCTCAAAGTTTTTAAAAGAATGAACCTATATATTTAAAAAAAATCCAAGTAGATGACTGACTTCAATGTTCTGCCATATGTTTTGGTGAGGAGGATAGGAGAAGCAAATAGTTGAGAGAGTGAAGGATCATTTATGACTCAGAGAATGGTAAAGTTTTTAGGATGATGTTTGCAAGCCAGCTGCTTCTCACATTTACTTACTCTACCCTAACATGCCTAATGGGAGAGTCTACCAGTGTGAGTATGCATTGCTGAAGGTTTGGTCCTGTTTTCAAATGTAGTCAGTGACAAACTTCATTTGTAGTGGGAAGTTTAATAGGAAACTGAGCTATTCTCATTCCTCATGCAATCAATCGTTTAAAAATCTACTAGGAAAAGTCTCAGTGTGGTAGAGAGACAGGATGGTATAATAGCAAGAGTGGAGGCACACAGACCTTTGAAGACAAATCCTGTTCCCAACACAAACTTGGTATGTGACTTTGGTAAGCACTTAATATGCTGAGACTCAGTGTTCTCATCTGTACAGTGGGCATAATACCTGAGATGAATTATGTAAAGCATCTGAATCTGGTGGGCACAGGATATTTTTACATCACCATTTTAACCCATATAACATTTTGACTCTATGGGGATTTTGACTCTTTGTTTAGGTCTAAAGGATTTTTAAAAAATCAGAATTATACTAACATTGATGACTTTTTTCCAAAAGTATTTTTCTGGAGATAATTCCATTAAGTCAATTAATTGTATTAATCTATGTAGTATGGTTCATTATTCAGTAAATATTGTACTAAACATCTACTGTGCACTATGCATTGTTTTTCTTAGAATGTATCTGTAAACAAACACAAGGTTCTTCCCTTGTCGAGTTTATTTTCTAGCAGGGAAGGACAGATAGTAAACATAAAAAAATAAAAATTCATGGAAAAATAGAATTGAAAGATATAATAAGAATCTTTCTAAGAACTTTTGGAAGTTATTAAAAGATATTGAGTGTGTTAAAAGATATTGAGTTAAAAGATATGTTAAAAAGATATTGAGTCTGACATAAAAAGGAACACGTAGAGCGGGGGCGGGGGACAGATTGCAGTGCAGATGTGGGACTCAGGGAAGGCATCATCTGGAGGTGAGATTTGAACCAAGACTTGAAGGAAGTGAAGGAGTCATCCAAGTGGATGTTCGGGGAAAGAATATGCATGGCAGAGGGACTAGCTGGAGCAGAGGCCCCACAGCGAGAGCATATCTGCTATGTCAGAGGAGCAGCAAAGGGACCAGTATGGCTCAAGAGAAGGCAGTGAGGGGAGAGTAGTGGGAGAGGAGGTCTGAGAGGGGCCGTGTCGCCCGGGCCTGGGAGGCCATTGGAAAGGCTTGACTCTAGAGGGCAATAGGGAGCCATTGCAGGGTCCTGAACAGACCATCGGCCCCCTTCTGACAGGTTTCAGAAGTTCTTTGTTTACACTAGATGGTGGAGGGCAAGGAGAGGAGTAAGGGCTACCGTGCTAACCAAGGTGAGAGGACGATGGCTTAGGTGGGGCGGCAGCAGTGGAGGCAGTGAGGATACTCAGATTCCGGAAACATCTGAGGGTAAGACCAGCAGGATTTCCTGATGCTTAGGATGTGGAGTGTGAGGGAATGAGAGTGGATGAGGCTGACTGCAAAGTTTTTGTCCTGAGCAACTGAGAATGTGGTTACAATCAACTAAGATAAGGAAGGCTTGGCAGGACTGGGGTGATGGTGGTGGAGAAAGGTGATTGGGAATCCAGTCTGGGATGCGCTGAGTTTGAAATGCCTATTAGACCTCTGTGGGTTATGCGGAAAAGGAAGCTGGGTATACAATTCTGGATTTTGGAAGAGAGTTCTGGAATGAAGATATAAATTTGGGAGTTGTTGGCATCTAGATGGTATTTGGAGCAATAGGACTGGATATGATCACCAGTGAAGAGAGACAGGAAAGAGCAGAGGTCCAGGGACTGAGCCCTGGGCCACTTCAGTATAAGAAGTCAAGGACACTGAGAGGAACGGCTGCCAAGGTGGAGGAAAACCAAGAGGATGGTGCCCAGAGTGGAGGCCAAGTGAAGGACGTGTGTTGTGGAGGCGGAGTGATCACAGCCAGATACCTGTGATAGGTTAAGTATGAGAAGGACTGAGAATTGACTGTGAGACTGATCAACTCGGAAGCCATGTGTGACCTCTGTGGGAACAGCTTTGGAGGAGTGCTGGAAGGAGAGAGGTGAAGCAAGAATGGGAGGAGAGGGTTGCAGACGATGAACGCAGGCACCTGTCTCGAGAGTTTTGCTATAAAGGGAAGCAAAGAAGTGAGTGGTGGCCGATGGGAAGTGGAGGGGGGTCAAGGAAAGGTTCTTCAGTGTGAGAAATAGGATGGTCAAAGAGAAAATACTGAGGATGTGGGAGAGACGGGGGAATTGCCGATCTGACGTCCTCCAGCAGGCAAGAGGTGATGGGATGTGGTGCCACACCAGGGAGCTGATCTAGGCGGGGACCTAGAGCGATGGGGGAAGGCAGAGGCCAGGGTGCAGTGTGGCGGCCGGGAGGCCTGGGCCTTCTCTCCTGCCTGCTTTAATTTTCACAGTGAAGTAGGAAATAAGATCGTCAGCTGAGAGCAAGGATTGGAGAGGTTGGGGATTTGAGGAGAGAGAAGATGTGATATAGTTATCCATTGAACTATTTTCAAGCTTTTACATTTTTCCTATCTATTTTAATAACATTAGTTCAATTGGTATCAGTTCTGTAAATTTTATGAGGACAAGCTGAGTCATTAGTTTTTGGTCCTTATAGCTTTTGCTATTGCAAATTCTCTTTTGCAGCCATTATTTCCACTGGATCCAGCTTTCCCAGGTCAGATTTTGCAAATCTGAATTTTGTCAAGAAGATTTTGTTCTTTAGTAAATTTTTAATCAATAGCAAATTTTACCCTGAGTAATGTTAGCTATCATCCTGGGTTAGTTCCCTCAAGCCTAGTTTTTCCTGGGTCAATTTTTGCAGTTTTTAGTATTAGTTGTGATCTTTAATCAGTTTTTAATCTAGAAGAGATTTTTTCCATCTTGTACAGTTTTTGCTATTATATTCATTATTTGCAGTAATATTAATTATGGACTGGATGAAAGTATTAGTTGGGCAAGAGCATGAGACATGGGTGCCCATTGCAATTATGTGGCAGAGTAGAAACATCCAGCCTAGGAATCTGGCTCATGGCAGGTTCCAGTAGATGTTAGCTTTCTTTCTGTTTCCCTTTCAAAGAACTAGGGCTGAGAAGGCCGTACTTCCTGGTCTCCACCCATCTAAACTCAGGTAAGTGAACTCAAGTGTGGGGCCTGCTGAAGAGCAGTAGTTTAGTTCCACAGGGCAAAATGCTAAAATTAGCCATCAATTCCCAAAAGTCTGATGCACTTCTGATGATTACTAGGCAGCATTATTTGTTATGGCATGTAAGTAAGAAGAAAGAAGTGTAAGTCCTTTGTGAGCCCTAAAGTGCTGGGTAATTAAGACATTACTTTAAGGAGGCTTGTAAATAAATGTAAAAAGCTCCTCAAATCTTGGGCTGCTTTTATATATACATGGAGAAGCAGCTATTTCAGAAAATTAATGGATTTCATGTTTAAAAAGTAGAGGTAGGAGATACAAAAGAGGCCGGAGTTATCTGAGTGAAGGGGAGAAGCCTCAATTTACCACCAGATAGATGGAGTTTTACCTTATACAGCACAGCAGTGAAGGAGGAAATAAATAAGTACAACTTGATTTTATAGAGGAAACCATGGACTTCCAGAGAGGTTGAGCTCTGCGTCACATTCAAAGGGGACAGTGAGGAGGGAGAAGAGGTGCTCCAGTGTCTCCCGCTGTAGCCGCTGCATCTGAGCCTGCGGTTCCCTCCATCACCAATCCAACGCGAGGACTTTACTTGGGAAACATGGAAACTTTGGTCTGAATTCCATCCTGTTCTGCTTGGAGGAAGATCTGTGCTTTACCCTGCTCCAGGCAGGCTTCCCACCACGTCCAACCCTGAGGCCATCTCCTACGCTGTCCCACTCACAGCCCTCACCACCCCGGGCCTCCTTCCTGAATACACAGCATGCTCCTTCCTGCCTTG